AAAGATAAAGATTGCTTTTATGACTGCCTAAGTTAGAATTACTAAATCCCTACCCTTCTAAAATGTAAAACAAAACAAGATTGTTTTAAGAAAAAACAACGTTACAGGAATCCAGCACAGCAGGACTACTGAACTCCTGAGACTGTTTTTTAACAAGTAATATCCTGGTAGGAAAACCACATTCTATACTGTTTTCCTAAGCTGGTTGTAAAAACCATCAAGAAGCACAATGGCTATCATTAATAACCCCACAAATGATGACTAGGGTACAAAAAGATAAATACCTCACCTGCAATAACAGAACAATTCAGAGAAAGAATGAAAAATAAATCAATTTGTGTTTAGAAAGAACACAAAAAGGGCATTTCGGAAGATGCCCATGGACTTTGAAAGCAATTATAAAATTTGAACAACATAAAATAGCATTAATATAGTTCTAATGATATTAAATACAAAATAAATAATACAACTAGAGCTTTATATCCTTTAAAAGTATTTTCACATAAACAATAACGCATGTTCTTCATACCTTCTGAACTCCTGACAAATCTTTCTTCAATCCTGTGACAGTTTGGTATAGAATCTTGTAACCAAAAGGAAAAAACAATAACGATCAACATAAAACTAGACAGTGAAATACGCATATTGCACTATTAAGAACAACATGGGCTAACTAATATCTCCTATGATTATAAAAAGGCATCTAAAATTAATCTCACTGGATCACAGGGAGTTTATCATATGGACACTATTTCCATCTACCAGATGTACTGGCCAAATCCAACCAGCCCCCTGGTACTTGGCTAATTTTTGTATTTTTAGTAGAGATGGGGTTTCACCATGTTGGCCAGGTGGCTCTCAAACTCCTGACCTCAAGTGACCCACCCACCTCGGCCTCTCAAAGTATTGGGATTACAGGCGTGAGCCACTGCACCCGGCCTACCTGGTAGTTTTTACAGATAAACGTTTGCAACCAATCTGAAGATAGCAAACACAAACTTTGAGACCCAACTAAGCAAATATTATCTGCCCCCCATCAAATAATTCCATTCTTCTCTGGTATACCTGTATTACACAAAACTGTATTCAGTTATTATTAAAGTATTTCTAATTTCACAAATAAAAATTGAGGGTTTTTTCTTTTGTTACATAAGGACCTATGTAATCACCTCAATTTTGTTTCTTGGCTTGCAAAGCCTAAAATATTTACTATCTGGCCCATTACCAAAAAGAAATTTTTCCTGAATGATATACATTAAAGGAATATATGTAATGAACCTAATATAATAACCATTAATAGCCTAGACTTCTATCTGAATCATCTTGTTTCTATAATTACAGCTTGTTGGACTCATTCAAATGTGTTACCTCCTCTCATAAATTCCAATGAATTCCCTTTACATTCAATGTGCATGCAAGTTAACACAGATGGAGCTAGTCATCTCACTAGTTCAGAAGCCAATATTCAAGATTAGGGGAACTTAAAAGGCCCAAATAGGTTTGGGACAGTCCCCTGCTACTTTTGAAGAGCTGCTTGCTACATACAAACCACGCTACTTACATTGTCTTGTTGGGCATTCATGGCCATGTCCTCCTCCTTCAATTTCATAATTACGTCCATATCCCTCTCATAATTTTTTACTTCATTCAAGGTTCTAGGAATATATGCTCGCTTAAACACCTAACAGAGAGGAAAAGCAAAATCAAAACTGTTATGCACATACTTCTCACATTCACACAGCATACTCATCCATCAGGTTACAGGGGACTCTATATATTCATTCATCCCCAACACTGATGCTGGGCCATGCTGTCTGCACACACTGGTGTCCCATCTGTGCTGTGGTGTCCCAAAAGTAATGCTACTAATGATAGAACACTAAATTTTGCATATGACTTATTTTAAGGAAGGGGGAAAAAACATTAGAGCTGATTCAAGGCTATCCTTAGAATAACACTTCTCCTTCATTTGTGTTTCAAAAACCTTTTCTGAGCAGGAGGAAAAGGGGTAGAATTACAGTTGGCAAGCGCTGCCTGGCTATGCCTTACAAAACGTACCCAGCTGCTACAGTGAAAAAGGTGGAAAGCTGCCAATAAACACAGGGCACCTCTCAGTCAACCACTGAGAGCTGTGAGAATTTTTTTTACAAAGCCTACTATGGCTCCTTCACAAAAGACACCCTGACTCATTTTTATCAAAGCATAATATTTAAAATCTACAACATTTCTAGAATCAATATGTAAGTCATTTAAAAACTCACATTTGCAAATTAAAAACAGGCTTTTCCTTCTTGACTCCTATATCCTAACAGGCTCTTTAAAAATTTTCTCCATCTAGGACAACGGTCTAACAAGTTGCTGAGTGGACCAATACAGTGAAATGTAAACTATCCAACTTGGCTCACTTAAATCATTTACCATCATACATCTCAAGGAAATATTACCATCATTTGAAAAAACTGCTTATCTATTTAAATCAAGTTTATGCTCTAGCAATATTTAAAAAAAAAAAAGACGTCAAAACACAAGTGTTTCCAAAGGCTATAAAATGATAACAAATCCTACCTCTTCATCCACATGATCTTGGCTAGACCTTTCTTCCTTGGTCCTTTGAGATGCTATTTCCATGGCCTTGGAGAGAAAACACAAATGACTTTCTTTTACATTCAAACTGCAGAAGACACATCCTGCCATGGTTTTGGTATAAACTTGTTCCAGTCTTTGTTAAGTATCACCTCCTCACACTTCTGAAAGCACTTAGTGTGCTCTAATGGTACAGGTTAGCTTTCTAGCACAGACCGCACCAAAAAGGCTGCCATCAACCCAAAAGTAACAGAATAAACCAAACTCTTCTAGCCTAAGAGGATTCCTAGCCTCCCTTTTTCAAAAGTTAGGCTACTTTTACTAAATTCAAATAATTAGCAAAAGCATTTACTGAGGAATACAGAGACCTAAAGAAAGAATCAATCCTTAAATCCTAAGCAGTCAGTGAAGGCAACTGCAAAGAAGGCTGGCTGGCTGTAAATCTTGAGTGACATGGCTCTATTGCTGCTGCAGTGTGAACCACCAAAAACAGCTATCTGAGCAAATAATGACTGAAACAAAGGTGATAAAGATTCCAAAGGTTTCTTTTGGCTTATAAAATTGAATGTCTGTTCTCTTCTCCACATAAAAAGAAAAAAAAAAGTGGGGGCAGAATTTTTTTATTTAAGTTTAGACATAAAAATCAGGCTGACCTGGGCATAGTGGCTCATGCCTGTAATCCCAGCACTTTGGGAGGCTGAGGCAGGCGGATCACCTGAGGTCAGGAGTTCATGACCAGCCTGGGCAGCATGGTGAAACCCCATCTCTGCTAAAAATACAAAAAATCAGTCAGGCATGGTCGTAGGTGCCTGTAATCTCAGCTCCTGGGGAGGCTGAGGCAGGAGAATTACTTTAACCCGAAGGTTGCAGTGAGTCGAAATTATACACTGCACTCCAGCCTAGCCGACAAGAGCAAAACT